GGTCGACGGCCGTGAGCGCGCGGTCCGCGGCGGCGTCCAGGATCGCGACGGTCTCGCGGACGACCGCGGCCTCGTCCTCGCGGCTCGCGGCCGGCGGCGGTGGCGCGGGCCGGCGGCGCGCGCCGCGGCGCGCGGAGCCGCCGGACGAGTCCGAGGAGAAGCTCGCCGTGCGGCGCATGCCGCCGCGGTCGCCCGGCGCGCGCGCGAGCGGCCCGGGCCGCGGCCCGCGGACGACGGCGACGTGGTTCAGGGGCTGGTTGTCGAGGCGCGCGAAGCGGTCCGGGTGCCGCGCGAGCAGGCCGCAGAGGCCGCCGAAGCAGGCCTTGATCGTCTCGTACCTCGCCTTGTCCTCCTCGGCGAGGGCAGACCCGAGGTTCGCCGAGGTCATGATGCCGCCGTGCATTGTGATGACGCGCGCGACCCAGTCCACGTAGGCGTTGGTGCTGTTCGCGGGCTGCTCGAAGAGCGACGCGCTCGTGAAGAGCGACGACGACGGGGAGTCAGGCGTGAAGAGCGACGACGACGGGGAGTCAGGCATGGCGGCCATGGTGCAGGTTCGGTCCTTAATCAACTCCCACGCATCGAGATGCGAAGCACTGGATCTGTTGTTATTCACAACCCTTCCTTTGGCGGAGATTGAAGGAAAGTGCAACTTAGAAGCCGCTGCGCCATCCGGGGCCTGCCGGCGAAATATGCTTCGCCTTACTCCCGCACGAGCATGTCGGGCTTCTCGTCGAAGGCCCAGTCGAGCCCGAGCCCCATGTCGGCCATGGCGTCGTCCTCGTCCAAGCCGGCGACGGCCGCGCGGAGGCCGCGCGCGTGGGAGATCATCGACTTCTGCCGCACGTTCATGTGCGTGCCCCGCTTCGAGATGGTCTGGCGCATGGTCCGCCGGCTCTCGTTGTTGCTCTGGACCGCGAGCACGGTCTGGCGCGCGGCGCCCTTCTCCTGGCCGCTCTTGAGGAGGAGCTCCGCGAGCACGAGCCTAGTCTCCGCCTCCAAATCGATGTCGCCGGCCTCCGCGAGGGTCCGCGCGGTCCTCGTGTCGCCGCTCTCCATGGCCAGAATCATCTGCTCGAGGTGGATCTTGCGCAGCGTCTCGTCGTAGTCGTCGCAGCACCCGTGGGCCTCGATGGCCTCGAGCGCGCGATCCAAAAAGTGCTCCGCGGCCTCGACGCCGGCCGGCGGCGCGACGTTCTGGGCCGCGGACCCGCGGCGCGCGAGGAGGCCCTTGAACTTGTGCTGGGCCGACTTCGCCGCGGCGAACG